TTCTGTCTTTGTAGTGCATTTATTTTTAATTTTGTCATTGGAACACGTCCCCCATGGCAGTGTCAAGCTTCCTATGCCTTTTGTTTGGCAACAGCTTGCTTGGTAGCCATATACATGTACATAATTGGATAACAAGATTCACCCCATTCCCCATAATGTAATATTCCACAAAGGTTTACATTTCTTTTTTGCTTCACTTTAAATGTTAAAGTCCATGTTTTTTTTTTTTGTTTGTTTTAAAAAAAAAATCAGACTGAGCTTTATAACAAAGGAATACCAAATAGACGTTTGAGCTGTATAGCATGGCAAGGTTTATGCAAAAGTCATGCTCTATTTCTTCTCCATGGTATGCATTGTTATATCTAAGATTACATGTTCATAATAAGGTTTGTACTGTTTCTGCAATGGAGAATGAGTGTAAATGCTGGGCAGCAATTGAATGTCTCACCATTACATTATAATTTTCCAGCAAGTTAGTCATATGAAATAACTCTCATTAGACATGCTGTAATTTCTTTCTGATTCTTGGAATGCTTGGGAATTACGCTGTCTGGCCAGTTACAATTACAAGCTACAAGAGGATGTAAGTGTTTAGGATAATTAATACGCATGCAGAAGTCAATGGTTGAAAAAAAATGCTACTTTTTTCTACTATGCTGTGAAATAATGAAATATACAGACAAAACTAAACAATGAAACAAAAAGCTTACAGAAGAACTCAGGGCATAATTATTCTTAACCCTTGCAGTGGGATAACTCCCGCACTGCAAGGTTTAAGTGCCCATTTTTATCAAGGGACAAAAATAAAAAAGTTATACTCACCCAAACCTCGATGTTGTCTAGCTGTTAGACTGGTGCCTGCAGCCTGTCTCCTTCTCCGCTCCAGCGATGGAATGCCCCTCTGTGTCCTCACATCCTACAGACTGTATAGGACATGATGACTTACAGGACCTTAGACCGCTGAAGTGGTGAGTGAGCAAGGCAGCAGGGGTAGCCCCACTGCAATGGTTTATTGCAATAATTTTGCCCAGAGTTCTTCTTTAAAAGGGACAGTCCAGCTGCTTAATGTTACAATCATATTTAAATGGTGTAACATGAAACAGTCACTTTCACCAACTACCCCCTACCCCTCCACACACCCTCAAACTGTCTCCCCAACATTCCTGAATCACAGGATGCTTCTTCCTGGAGAGTCGTGTGATTTATGTTAATTTAGTAAAGCTGTGCATAGCTCCACCCACACTGGCACATCATCCATTCACAGATCCATTCCCAGGGTGTTCTGTGAATAGGAAGACTGGGAGTCCCATCTGCCACCTCAGCAGAGAGCCTAACAGATTGCAATGAAGCAATGGAGCGCGGTGCCGTCACTGCACTTGTAGTCCATTGTTTACGCTCTCCAGCCCCATAACAGAAGCTCAATACCTCCATAAGGGCCTAGGGGCTGGGACAAACACTGCAGCAGCCTGTGCATTGCCCCCATGATACACTGACTGATGATGGTTGCAATGCTCTGCAGGCTTCAATGCAAACATTTAATAATTTGACTTTTTAATGTGATTAATGTGGGGTAATTTACTGCCATTTCCAAAAGGTGGACCATGACTTTAAAGAATTAATGAACTTTCAGTTTAAATCAGCTACATAGATTTCAGGTGCATCAGAACAAAAGGTCTGCCAGCATGCTGTAACAAAAGATCCTTGCTTTCTATCTGGAAGCAGTGGTCTCTCTGCAGATGTCCAACGCACACCCATCCTGCTGAGTCAGAACTAGAGCTCTCCAATCACCATTGTTGAACTCAGCAGAGGATATGACACACCTTTGCAAAGAGGCCACTGCTTCCACACAGAGAGTAAGGGTGGAAGTCTAGCCAAATGGTTTTGTTTCTAGGTTTGGATAAAGTAAGGAAGGGTTAGAACCTCTTTTACCTTTTTCTTATTGCCTGGATCACCGCTGGGGAGATTGCTTTGCACTGGAACATGTATTGTCACTCTGAGATTTCTCCATTACTCTATTCCTATACTCTATTCCTTTAGAAATGCATGGTGGGACTTGCAGTTCAAAAGCAGATTAAAATTGCATCTGAATAACTTCCCATAATAGGAATTTAATACTCAGCAAGAATGTTTTAATATACTGCAGGTACTGTTACCTGTATATCCCAAAGCCTGTGGAACATTGTGATTTCTCATTAATGAAAATGACATGCTGATGCCCTACTCATCATTAAAGGTTCTGCATTTTCCATAATGATTGATGCCAGTTCATTGTGTATACAAATTGTCAGATTAAACACTTCATTGTATCCATATTATTGATTTGTTCTGAATTACAGACCACCTTGACATGAAATTATTAATGCATTATTTCTTGAATAGGAAAAACATCATAAAAGTGAATACATTATATCTTTTAAAATGTGATCCTAGAAATTTCTAGACTGCTTATATGTTCTTTTCACATAAAAGGTTTCCTGCTGTCTTCGCATGTCGGGTGATTTATAAAGAAGCTTTATTGCCAACTGCATTGTGGGGATCATGTGTTATTGTGGTTTAGTGGATCAGTATTTTGCAACACCCGTATCTTACCATTGTGAGATCTCAGTTCACAGAAGGTCACAGTAGTGGTATCCAGTATATGTAGCATTTCAGAGATAATTCGTTTTGGCATAAAAGGTATAAATCAGGGAAACATTTAGGGTCAAAGATTAGGGTGAAGACTTGGTAACTATTTTATAATACATCCAACAGAGAAATGATGGGTTCAGGAGAACTGTCAAGGGTCAGTTTTATGGCTAAAGTGTTAAGGTGAGGGTTAAATTTAAGAGCTAGGTTTAGGGTTAAGTTTAGATAGGTGCTAGCTCTGGATTAAGTGTTACACTTCAGACAGGGGAATGAGTAATCAGGGTAACCAACAGGTTAAAGGACAGGGAGTTGGGGTACAGATTTTATTTTTAGAAGTTAGACTTTGAAAGCCTTTTATAGTAACACATTAAGTAAGAGGAAATATCTGTATGGAGCCCTGGATAGCAGTAATAACCCAAAAGAGGTTCTAATTAGTCCCCAGTCCTACAAGGACCTACAATAATAACTAGCCTACTGACATTTCACCACAAACCTGCAATTTTAATCATCAGTTTAGTGCTTTATTCTCACTTATGGTCACAAGTTAAAGGCCTAATTATTTCTTGGAAATTCCATGACTTTCACTAAATCCATAGACGATGCAGTAACTATTATCCACCTCTTATTCTGTGCAGGTCATCCGCTGGGAGTTAGACTTGTGCGCCGTCAAAAAATTTGTTCTGTTTCGTTTCGGAATATCCGTTATTTCGTATTTCGTAATTCGTAACTGAACTCAATTCGTATTCGGATTCATACGAAATACGAATTTTCGTTAGTGGCGGTTATATTTTCGTAACTTTACGAACATTCATTATGATGAAGTTAAAAAGCAAAATACCTTTGTTAATATTGGAGTGGTAGTTGTTTTTTTTTATCCGAAATACGAATTCCGTTAACGGATTCCGGATCCGAATTTCGTATTTTGGATTTTAAAAAAAATACCTTCAACTCCAATATAAATGTACTTTGCTTTTTAACTTCAATATAAAACGAATGTTCGGAACGGAACGAAAATACGTCAACGGAATTTCGGATTTCCTGCCTGTATTTGTACTGCAACTCTCAGCAGCAGAAGGGAACCTCTGATTGGTCAACCAAAACGAAATATGAATTCCGTTAACGGATTCCGTATCCGAATTTCGTATTTAAAAAAAAAATACCATCAACTCCAATATAAATGTACTTTGCTTCTTAACCTTAATATAACGAATGTTCGTAACGGAACGAAAATACGTCAACGGAATTTCGTATTTCCTGCCTGTGTGTGTAACTGTGTATTGTAATGCATCAGCAGCAGCGGATCCGTATCTCGGATTAAAAAAAATCTTGTCATGTTGTTCAACCTCATTTACAGGGGTAATATTAGTTCCTGTTTCAAAGAAATTCGGATCCGAAATTCGTTAACGGAATTTCGTATTTCGGATATAATTCGGAAACTGCCATTCGGATTTCGGATGCTCCAAAATTCGGAATTTCAGGAAAATTCGTACGAATTTCGATTCGTAACGAAACGGATCGCACATGTCTACTGGGAGTCTAATCTTTCTGGCAACCTTTTTCTGACTGGGGGCATTTTTTCCAGAAACATGCAGGAGGAACACTTCTGATGTTACAAGACACCTGAGCAAAAAGGATTCCTCTTTATCTTTTGTTGAGTTCTGAAACTAATAGTGAGCAGGCCTATTTTGGGGGCTTTCACCCAGCCTTTCTTTTAGATTCAACTTGTCTGTCGTCTTTTCTGATTGTCACCTGTCCCTAGTTATATGCCACTAGCCTGTTTGATTCTGCACAAAACTTGCTGGTCTTAAAATTGGTTGCTTTATGAAATATATCTGTCAATTTGGGGATCTGATTTGGTCAGTTGTCACCATTGAATAAACCTTCAGGTCATATTCTGGAAGCATCAAACAGTAAAATCTAAGTCTGAGTTACAAGGCAGTGGGCAAGGGGCAAATCGGGTTTATCATACAGATTAGTGTAAAACTGAGAAGTCAGACAAGGAAAAGGCAAGAGCAACAGGAGGGCAAAGGACAAAAATGACATTAGGTCACATCATTTAGGAAAGGAGCAGTAGAATAGGCAAGCTCTTCTGAATATAGCAATCACCAATCCCTGAAACTCAATGGGTTCACCAAAAACTGGTTGTGCCTAAGACTTATATTTTGACAACAATACTTGTTTTTAATGTGGAGCACACTCCCATGCTTACCAATTTTGTGGTGTTGTAGGTATCTTGACCAAGAGGCTGCTGCGGATTGAGACAAACTGATTTCTTCATGGCAGCAAAGCAAATATTGTTCCCTTGCTGAAAGGCTCAGGTAAATGTATAATCATGTCTTTTTTCATATATAATAATATAATAAAGTGTTACTTACATCCATGAATTCTGCATTGGCTTTGGGTCCAGTTGTCTCATTCAGGATTTTAATAGCCACAGGGATTTTTACCGTCTCCCCTTCCGGAACCCAGATACCCTAGACCACAAAAAACTGTAATTTTAGTACAGAACATATATCAATTTTATTTTTGTGAAAGTGATGAACATGTACTATTTATAAGCAGGTTAAGCAGGTTTTATTTTAAGATATGTTGAGGAGAGTTTATCAAAACTGGAGCAGACAAAATCTGGAGCAGTTGTGCATGGCAAACAATCAGCTTCTCTCTTTCATTTTCAAATCTTAACTCAACAAACTGAAGAGAGATGCTGCTTGGCTGCCATGCACAGCTGCTCCACATTTTGTCTGCTCCAGTTTTGATAAATTCCCCCCACAGTATATAAATTTTATCAAAGCCTTTTATTATAAGCCATTTACTGCTCATACTGGACTATCTTCTGTTTCTTCCCTTAAGGTATTGTTTCATTTCCATACAATACAATCTATGTTACATATGCTAAAAATATATATTCCTATGCCAACATTGCCGTTTTAACTGAAATACAGCTTGTCTAATCCACTGTTAGCTAATGTACCTAAATAGGATCCAAAATTGCATAATGGCATAGTCAGGTACAATTACATCAACACTCTTTAAAATATTGTTTGGTCCCTCCATGCCTCATATGTTTGAATTGTTAAGTACCCTTGTCTGCTTTTCTGTATGAGAAAAAATTGCATACTCCAGGTAATTTTCTGGAATACAGCATCCCCAGTATTTCTAAAGACATGTATCTAAGGACTGTTGGCTGTTTAAATAACAGGGATACTGGTGATGCCACATTTTTTGCCACTTCTTTTACATGAAGCAGGCTTGTCTAATTTCATTTATGCTTCAGTGAGCTTCCGCGAGCTATCTTGACAGCACCAACATTGTGGGGTTGATTTACTAAATAGGCTTTTCAATTTCCCCTTAGCTTAGTGAATGAGGTACAAATTCGCTTTGCAAAGAATATCCAATCATGTTAAAGGAAAGTAAAAAAAAAAAACAACAGTATTTTGCTTGCACATGATTGGATGATGGAAGTCAGCAGAGCTTCACATTATTCACTAAGCAAAGGGAACATTCACTTGCAAAGTGCACAGCCTATTCGCCTTTACTAAATCAACCCCTAAGGATCTGATTTAAGAAAGGAGTCATTTTCACATGCTCAGTCAGACAAGGAGATTTAAAAAAAAAATATTGTTGAGATTGATTAAGTAATTCAAATGAAAAAGACTAATGTAAAAATAACTCCAGTAAATCAACCTCAATTTTGGCAAGGTGACAGGATTTTAGAAAACTATGAACTTGTATATTAAGAACTATTCTGAAGCCAGCAAACCAAAGATGACTGATACACAATGATGCATGTATTAAATGGGTAATATAGATGAGAGTGGGATAGCAAAATGGTGGCAAACGATACTAAATTTGCAAAAATAACACATAAAATAAAGAAATTTGGCATGCGTTATTTCAAGCAAAACAATATATGTATTCTTTCTTTCCCATGGACATTCACAGTTTACAAAGACCAATTAATGTTACAGTGCACAAATTGTTAAGAAAAATTTCAGTTTGAGTGCCATATCTGAAGTCATTACAAAACTTTAGCACCCAGCCTTTTGATTTTCACAGCAGCAACTGGAATGTTAGATCCTTTTTGCTTGTTTTTCGCTTGACCCTTTTCCATTTTAACAGTCTCCTTGCACTAAGTGGTTATTTTCTATTGTACTGCTTTCAGGTTATCCACTTAGCTGTTTTTTTTTCCGATTTCCAAAAGTTTTCCACTTTAGATCCTCAGCTCAGTACAAATCATAAAAATATTGTGATTTTTGTTTTCCGTATTTCTCTGTTTTTCTGGACCCCCATATGGCACCTGCATTCTCGATTCTATTGTTCAAACAGTGTAAATGTGTTTGTTTTGTTTTTATAGGGTTTTTATTTTTTGCTAGCTAGCTAGTAAGTGTGATGCAAAAATTGTGTATTGTGTTTTTACTGTAAAAAGCAACTTACCATGTGCACCTTACTTTAAAAAGCTAGCTATAAACTAATGGTGTTTGCCATTGTACTGTGCTGGGCCTCTGGAGTTTCACTGCACGGAGGGTTGGGCTACCTCATTGTATACCTGCCCTTAATTTTAGTCATTGCTATATATGTTCCAAGATGGGAGCTCTTATAGATTAGAGTTAGGGACCACACTTCATAGAAGAGCTTTGACAAGGCAGTGAGGCTTTCATATACAGTATATTTGCAAAAATGGCAACTAAAATGACTGTTTTTAATGCAAATAGTTGAAAAGGTGTATTTTTTTATTTTATTTGCTGGCTAGCTGGTACATGTTCTGGGAATTTCTTGTATTGTGTTTGTTCTGTGAAAAGGCCTTTTTATGTACACCTAATTATAAATTGATTGCATCAGTTGCCATTTTTGTATTGTTTGCTGCATTCTTTATTTCATTGTAGCTATAGGAAAATTGAAGACTTGCAGACTTAAAAACAGACTGCAATAATGAATTATTTGAGCAAACTTACAGGGTTATTCACAAAGCTGCAGAAGACAGCCGATTGAATAACCCATCCGAAGTGAAGTGAGCTGATCGCTGTTCGGCTATTCACTTCAGGCTTGTACGGCTGATTTCAGTCGTACATATTAACAATTAATCTACCTTACATATTAATGCTAACCCCTAAACAGAGCCTAACCCCTTCACTATTCTTCTGTAATGAAAACTTTAATACATAGAAACAACTGAACTGACTCTGTAATATAAAAATTAAATTTGATGTGAAATATACCCTGTTGCCAAAATGATCTGATAGGAGATTTGATATGTGGTTGGAGACTTGTGCTTCAGTTCTGTGAATTGAGCCATATTGCCTTTGGCTAAACAAGAACTGCCCAGCAGGCACCTCCTGTCCTTACTTAAACACTCAGAACAATAGAGAATATCAACCATACAGCTACCTATTTCAGGGAAGATTTAACAGTGATTCCACTTGCTAAACTGAAGACTGAATGAAGCCGAAAGAAATGCAAAAAAAGTTGGATTTGTGACCGTAACTGGAATGGAACCTTAACATTTTAAGTCACATCATAAAATGGATTTGCTGATAAGCTCATGCCCATTGGTCAAATGAACTATTAAGGCAGTCAGGTACCATTAAATATTATTCTTGAACTTCAGTTTCATTGTTCATTTCATGCATAGGAGAATGGTTCTGGGTTACCATGGTAACAACAGATGGCATCATACTGCTCTTGTTCACATAGGAGTTTATAAATGTGCATCCACAGGAAGCATTTTTTCTGGTTATCACCTTTCTACATTTGGAGAACTATGAAATTATTCATAACCAACTCCAGCAGATTCTACCTTTTACAATAACGTTATATATCACACAAAGGAAAATTCTTGGATTAACACCATTTCTAATGCATAAGAACTTGTAACGTATTTTTAGAAACTTCCCATTAGTTGGTCAAATAATATAATTTCATGCATGGATTTGAATCTCATCGGTGCGATTGATGTCCTTAAATTAAACCAATAATGCATGTTTTGAAGGTAGCCCCACATCCATTGGTGAAATAATTTGATTTTCAGCAACGCAATTTAGCCAGCTGTGTGGTTATCCAAAAAGACAAACTGTTTGCAGGATATGTCCGGGAATCAGTGTTCTGAAACTGTACAGATATGTTAGGGGCTCTTTAAGGGGACAGATCCATCTCCCTACAGAGTATGTAGCAACTCAGTGCTATCTCTGGTAGAAGGGAGAGGTGTGAAGATGGGAAATTGAACAGCTGTGAGAAAACAGTTGGTTGGGGTGAGGCAGAGTGTGAAGGAGGAGCAGCCACCTTTTTTTTCTCTGGGCTGAAGGAAAACTATCATAAAAATGAAGTGGAATAACTGCTTCCCCCATCCTGGTGGTGTTTGTGCTCGTTTCCTGTGAACAGAAACTTAAATGACAGAGGAGCAGTGTTGGGCTGTGCTCTGATAGGCTGTGAGTCAGAATGCTGAATAGGAGAAGAGGATAGAAATTATGTAGTATCTACATCTAGTTGTGACCTCTCTGTGGCAAAAAAAAGCATCTGGTTGCACTGGTACAGAGTAACCCATGAGTTTCAGGGAAAAAAAATATATTCACATAGTCACGCATCTGGGATCATTTATTGTCAGGGTTTTTGTACCCCCTTACAGATACATTATAGCCACAGTGAAGAGGAAGTCTAGCCAGAAGATGAAGAAGCTTGTTAAACCTCCCAGGAGAACAAGTGCACATTGCACTTGATCCCATTCAAATCTGTGCGGTGGTTGCTAAGCAGCACTGAAGGATAGCTCGTCCTACCTCCTGCCACTGATATCTGACGACAATGGACAGCAGTTCTGACTGACAGCAGGGAGGAGAGGGTATAGGGCAGGCAGTGCACTGCTCTCGAAATCTTCTGGCAAAACGTAATCTTTAAAGAAATATATGTTTCTACAGGATTGTAGCTCAGCACTGGTGTAGATATGCATTGAGCTACTTTGGCATATAAACAGTTAATAAAAAAAAGAAAATGAAAAGCTTCAGGAAATATGTGCCCGTAGCAGCAAGTAAGTGGATAAGGATACGGCTAGCCTTGGGGACGCTGGGAGATGCCTGCCAGTTTATTTTCAGTGGCGGGTGTTTGCAGAAGGCATACCAGCAAAATGCAAATAGCTTCAGGCCAGAACATTCCTGGATAAGGAAGACGCTTTGTCATTTGACTAGACTGCATGCCAGGCAAAGCAGGCTGGGGAGTTTGCAACGTTTCTGTGCACACTGAGTTTAGTTGATATGGCTGCTCCTGAAATGGTATTACAATTCCTGTACTATTCACCCTCCTTGTATTAACTCCTAGTTCAGGTACTTTCAGATAAAGACATTCCTTCTGTATCGCATGTGAGCATGTGAGTATAGCAACTGCATCTTTAAAGCATGCCACAGCATGATACCAGTCATATACTGAATATTTTTTTATATTCACTTACAACTAAAGGCTCTTGTATGGCAATCTAAACAAGTAACAAATC